TGCTGATGCAGCTCGCAATAACTCATTTTTCACCTAACACAGCTATCGTCATTTAGAGCGTACGTGAATATCATGGACGTTTCGTCTCTTCTTGCGACGCATGAGACCCGAAGCAAAACAACGCACAGACGGTTGTTAATCGGGAACCAGTCCAACCAAACCCACAACGGCTATTTCTGGGTTACCAGAGAGATCTCTGAAAACCGGGATCAGGTAACGTATTACAGCGCTTTTTAAACAAACAAACAATAGGCTTATGGTGAAGGCGCCTGAACGTGAGAAGCAGAAGTAGTTGAGTACAATAGAGAATTGTTATTGATTTCGTTAGAGAGCTGCCCAATCCGAGGTATGGAGTTGACTTAGGGGTAATACCCTTGTGCTTTGGCTCAACAGCCTACTCGCAAGGCAGCGGAGCAAAGTAGGAAATTGCGCCAATTAAGAGCCGGTTAACCTATTCTCGGTTCACACACATTTGGTTTGATAAGGGACCCAATCCTCATCACAATTTTAGCTTCACTCCACCGGAACGCATGCTGTGGCGAAACGAAGCAAGGGTATTGGCTTCATTTATTGTAGAGTCACATCCATCATTTCGCATTGTTCTTTAGAAGATAGCAGCTTTTAGGAGAAACATTTGCCAGGCGAAACGGACCACGCCCTGGAACACTGCTACCGAACCGTCTTGATGGAACTAGCTAAACCCAAGCCACGCACATGGCAACACGTGGATGTTGTTCGGTGTGGCAGTTATGAAAAAATGCTGCGAGAGCATCCTCTTATTACCTTTAGAGCCGCTCATTTCACACAAACCAATAATCAACGGTTAGATATACTAGCCCTCTCCCAGAAAACCTAACTACCGAGATCGACGATCAGTCGAGTGGGGCGATCATACAGCACGGCGCAGCTGGCTCTTTATCATCGGAAGAGTAGAGCTGTTGATTCGTGATACTCCAGCGTCGCCTAAAGCAGGGCGACTGCTAATCAGCAAGCTGCGGCTATTCTCAAAAATCAACAAGACAAAAACTTACCATTGTTGAGCTATTGTTACCCGGGGCGGAAACTGTGTTGCACAGTGTGTCCAATAAGTTCACACTAATTATGAATAATTCATCTAGACAGTGCCTTCATCCCCATCGCAGCTTAGGATGTTTTAGTTCCGTTAATGAGTATATCACTCCTATCTTCATACAACAGCCGAATCGGAATATGCCGAATTCAACCATATACTTGATTCGACACTTATTGGGGAGTTGGTGCATACAACCATACTTGTATTTACACTAGATTCGGGAATCTGCTTTGCATAAGGGAAGTGGTTATCAGGTTGGTTATGATATTTACTATTTTTGATGTCCACGTTGTGCAGATTGTCAGGACGCAGTGAGTTTTCATTCAGAAAGTATTCTCCTTATAAAAAGCCAAAATGTTTTTTGGCCACTTTTACCTGTCGGATGTGACTCGTTACCAAATGGAGTCGCTACCCCTTTCATTACTTCGGTGGCGTATTGTCTTCCAGAAACTTTATGCTGAAACTGTGAGTAGGATTAGGCCTCTGTTTATTTAGTGGCCAAACCAAATGCGTATGAGCTACGAAGTCAGTCACTGGCTCCCAATGAACGCGATTTCCATGATTTAGTCCCACTGTCTTGTAAGTTATTAAGCCAAGGGCTCGGATAGTGTCCCATTAGTCAACCCTACTTCAGCCTGGGAAACCGGGTAGTATCACGCCGTCTGACAAGACCACGGATTCTCCAACTGCGAATACGTCGTACTATCCCAATTCTGCATACATCATTGTTCATGCGCCTTCGTCACATGCCATCACTATTTTTGGTAATGATTCTCACACCTTTGAGTCTGCTTTCCATGCCGGTTATCCCTCAGAGACACGATTGCGTAACTCCCGCACCATGCCTAATTCGATACCTGCTGCTCCCAGAACGAAATATTTATTGCATGTGTCTAATGGCATAGGCAGCTGCGGTCGGTCTGGCTGGTTTCGGCATCGCCTTGAGTGACAACGTTAAGACAGCGCTGCTGGATTCGTTCAACCCAAAATGTCGATCGTCCTTGGACTTTCTTGCAGTAAGCAATGCTCTCTTCGGGCCAATCAATCCGTGGAATCGTTTGTCACTCCCCGAGGGGTGTATTTCCTCTCCCTCACCATAATTGTTTGATCTTCGCCACGAACTTAGCCAGTAACTCAAGCAAAGGTTACATAATGATCGCGAAACTCTACAGTCTCAGCTTGCTTCATATATGGAGGTTGCTGCACTCTCCGAAAACCGGTAAACTGTTCCAAATCATTACGGTCACTAGCTGCTGAAGTGCTGATGCGAGTGGGGCTATTTGGTAAACTATTTGCGTAGGCGCAAGAACCGCTAGGCTTGGCCCTCCCATTCTGAATTCTGTTGGATTTCTGCACCAGTGTACCCAATCGTATACCCTGGAACGTTTCACTAGAACCACTCGCCGAAGCGGGGGTATATCACGAGTTTCGACACTTGAAGCGATTCAAGGCTGCCGGCTGAGGCGGACTTCCTCCGAGCCTGTGGGATTACGGTGGTGAGGTAATGGTCATTCAGTTGAATGCTCTATTTACCAGGATTTCGTGTGAAGATGAGGTTCTATCCTCTTGGGGTAAGAACATTACTCTCCCCTTGCTTCAAGTGGGGCTCCCCTGCTCTTTGCGCCAGGAGTCAATCCACCGTCGATTACCTCCAAGTTGTCCGTATCTATTCGACTCAGCAGACTAACTCTAATTCGAGAACTACACTCCCATAAAGAACAGACTGATATCCACCCCGATTGAGGGTGTGTATGCCACATGTTTACGCCCCGTCCACTACTCAAACAACCACTAACCTACCACTGTCGTTTTTTGGGTATGCAAACTGCGTTCAACTCGGTCAATCGGCCTTCCTCATAGCGATCACTATACTCCAATATCTTGAGCAGCGTGTGGGCTTGCGGCAAGCACTCTTCATTTTTCGCTGTCATTTGCGATGGGAAATCAAGATCTCCCATGTCCCCGTTACTGCTCATTTTTGCGATTGAGGATTTCCTGTTGAGTGCTTTGTTAGGCCTCCAGGACTCTGACGCAGAGCTTCTTCCAGCCATCCATGCGGATAATATTGCCCTACCTACTGACGGCACACACTGTGCAGGTTGACGATTGAAGAAACTAACTACGGTGTGACCTTCTACTCCTAGAAACGCAAACTTCATGCCCAGATTTGGCATCCACCTGGCCCTATGCTTACTTTGGAAGCTGTGCAGTTTGAAAAAGCGGGCAGTTATCTCTACAAATCATGTCAAGAATGTGCTTTATGCACACACACCACGGATATGGATAATACTAAATACGGAAAACGAACAATACATCAGAATAGATATAAACTAAATCGTTAAAAAACGTGACAGCGCAAATTCCAATAAAGTAATTTACTAACCAGTTTTTAATGACAATTTCTATCGTTCAAAAACGTGACAGGAACGGAACTACCGATGTACCATAGGCCATTGTGCTGGCGTATATAGCTCTGTCTGGTCGAGGAGATTGATACGCATTCAGACAATACCCTGCGGGTAGGTGGCTGACATCAGTGAGTATTTTAGGTGCAAGCTTGTTACACGCGTTTGCGTATCTGGCTACAATCATGTTAACAATTTCCGGCCTTGAAATGCCACTACACCTGGATAGAATCTTCACAGATCTGGCAATTACTTTGAGGTCCTTACTCAGGGGACCAGGAAAGACCATGTGTGAGCAATAGGTCCAGTAGGGTAACACACATGCAGTGATAAAACGCTGAATCAAAAACAGGGTACGGAAGACCTGAGACATGTGAGATAGAATGAGAGTCTTCTAACTTTTGTGAATGTTTTGTTCACATGCAACGTACACCTAAGCCCACTGCTCAGTGTCACCCCCAGGTTAAACCTTCATCGTACATTCAATTTTGCGGTCACTGCGTTAGGATTTGCTGATGACGAAAAAAGGAACTCCTAGCATTTGGAAGTGTGTAACGGCAGGCAACGGGATTTGGACCAAGGTATGAGGTTGTCAAGGTCTGTGATTTGGATGATGGGTGCCAAGGATTACGTCATCCGCATACTTCAGCAAGATGGCTTCTTCAAGGACGGGGATTGAGGCAACATAAGTGGAAATAAGAATGGGGGCAAAATTGCTCCCAGAGTTTGTGGTGAGTGAAGCAGAGCTTTTCCCATTAACCTGGTATACTAGGTACGCCTGGTGAAATAATCTTTTAACAGAAGTTTAAACTCTAGAACCTAATAGCTCGCGCAACAGTAGTTCACGGTTCACACATCCGAAAGCGTTTCTGAATTCCCATAAACGGATGCCGACGGATTTGTTTTTATTATCCATTGACGCGAGCACAGTATGTACCAGATGTGCTACTGCATCTCAGGTGGACCTTGAGTTGCGACATGCAAACCGATGAGGGTTATTCAAATGCGTCTGGACTGAGATTATTTGAAGTATAAGCCTCTCCTGAAGATCTTCATAACAACCGATGTGCAAGTGATCGACCGATATTTGCGGGTTCCTTTCTTTGACACTGGTCGGATGCTTGTGCTTCGTCAAATCTCAGCTATCTTGTTCTGCACAGTGAGTGCTGTGCTAGGCTATGCGAGAGGCTGTGATAGGTAATCTGCGCACTCCTTGAAAACGGTACTAGACAACTTCTAGGCTTCTCACAGGAAAGTTATCTGAGGCTGGCTGTAACTCTCCAGTTTAGCTTTCCTCGGTCCCGTGCGTCTTCTGGGCTGGGTATCCAAGGACGAAGTAAGCCGCTGTCTGGAAACACTTTGGAGCATGGCACAAAGTTGTCATCAGTAGATTTGTGTGAACTTACGCCTCCAGTTAACTTTTCGGTGACTTTTACGTACGTTTGTTCCATGGTTTTTGATCACTCCCTATCCATCCTATGCACTTACTGCTGCTAATCTCCGTGTTTCACTGTTGTTTGCAGAAAACCAATTCACTTCTCCAGCTCGTCCTCCCTTAGAATATGCCGATGTTCCAACTTTTACAAACTTTTCTGCAACTCATTCTGATTTCGAGAAAACGCCACTGACTCCAGAAACACCACCAAGTCATAGAAGTCGGCCTCCTTTGATCATGCGACAGGTTCTTTTCCACACCCCTACACAGTTGGTGAGTACTGAAAAACCTTTCAGCATCACTACATACTTTCCCATGTACTATTTGCTTCTTTATTCGAATTCCTTTTGAATTCTGCAGCCTTTCTGCGAGAGTGAAACACTAAGGCTGTCTCATAAACGGCTGGAGCCTAACTCTCCTACTGAGAGTCCCAGCTCAAGATTTGATCCTGAGTTGACTTCACCTGCATTAATTTGCAAACGGCGCAGACTCACCGTCTGCCCAGCTGTCCACTGCCGTTCGGTCACTGGTTCTCCTACAATGCAAAAAGTAAGCGCAGTTTCGCCTTCAATGATGCCAACATGAGCGCTTTTTCTTCCATTATTTTTCGTGCATCTACCGAAGTACTGTTAACTTGCGTGACGGATAATAGTACTTTCACCGTGCAAGCTGGCTTGTTTTAATATTTTACTCATCCGTACCGATCATATGCTCTTGGCCAACCTGTATCAATCATTCTTATTCTACTGAAACGGCTTTCTAATTACGTTTATAGTAGCTGCTCATTTAGGCGCGAGACAAAGCTCCTAATGCTTGTGTGCTCACATATGAAATCCCTCACTTAGCCTCGCGAACAAAGTTCGGCATCCCCGTCTGTTCCTGTGATTGATGGCATAGCGAAGCCTGTCTGTCTGAACATAGAAACATGTTGAATTAGTCGGATTCTCCCGAGGAGCTATCAACGGTTCATTTCGATCCCTTCCGTTGTCACTTGCATGGAATAGATTTTTGTCTTTATTTTTCACATACCGGTTCCGTGGGTTCAGTTACCTACCACTGTCATAATCACATCCGTGTCTGCTTTTCTGTCTAGCTGCAAGAGTAACTCAACCCTCCCCTGATTGTGGCAAGCACCATAAGCAGGGTATCTATTATCAAGTTTTCTGACAGTATTTCTTATGGTCAAGCAATTGGGAACATCCATCACTCTCCGATTCGTCGAACTCACCCCACCGTCACGTGCCTGATACTAGGCGCGTACTTCACTTTCCCCTTCGTTTGAGTTTGTATACTTTCCATCATTCAGTGGGTCTGCCCTCTTACATACCAATTGATGGGTACCAACTTATCTCATTGCCAGTAACCAGTTATTAATTTCTGGCATCCTTCATTTGTTTTGATCCACTGCAATGGCAGACTATACCGCAAGCCAAGTATATGCCAGCATGTCACTGACACAAAACTGCTGCATGGCAACATCTTTGCAAACTACCAACCAACTTACGATTGATACAGTGCTTTTCCTAGGACTGACCATGTTAAATGACGTGTGCCTCGCCAAATCGAAATCACACGTAATCTGTCTATTTGGTTAGACTATTCGCCATTTCGCAATCCTCTTGTACGATTTGATCGGACCAACAACCCGAGCCATGTCTCGCAAAGTTGAGAAATAAACAATTTATTTATTTTGTTCGTATACAAGTATGTCGCTCATAATTAGATGTAAGTTTGATTCAGATTCATCGTGCACGAAACATATCTATTTTTTCAGGTCGCCCCTCGGCGCCGAGTGACGACGGTCGGTCAACGGTTTAAACCTATCACTAGTTACCTCAAATCCGACAAGTGATAGTATCCTTCATATCCATGCATTTTTATTCCTTGTCCAACTATTTTACGCTCTTATTTTTGTATATATTGACATAACAAGAGCCAAAGCCGCTTTGGCAGTTACGAAGAGAAATATTGTCTCCTAATATTCATTTGTGTTTCTAATAGTTGGAGGGAAACCATCGTTCATTACTCTCAAGTAAGCGTCAGGACTGATAAATTGGAAGCTCGTCATACTTCATCTGTTAACCGCTCGACGATCGTCATGACTGCTCAGCGACACTTGGATCTTACTTTGTGTCATACTACCCTACAATTATGCTATCTGACTTGGGGTTTGCTTCATTTTCATATCTCGGTTAGGATCCGTTCACTAAAATGCTTACTATTATGTTGGCTTCCATCATAACATATGATGCTCGTTAAGATCTAACGTCCACCAATGAAATTCAGTACGAACACATACAGGAACGGAAAGATCCTAAAAGGAACACAACACAGCTCACGAACTGAACACAGATTCGGCTTCCAGTCAATAGCTCCAACCCAACAATACAGAAGACAGGACCTCTGAATAAAATCCATTATGATAACTCAGATGTATACCATAAAACGCTCGTGGATATTTACAGGTCTACTAACGGCCCGGCTCTGGGGCTGGAACGAAGTTGTGCGCATTGTTTAAAAATCCAAATGACATTTGGTGATAAATCCACATTGATTGATTCCAGTGAAATTCTCTTGAAATCTGGCGCTTTCCCAGCAATGGCCCAACGAGCTGCAACCGAAAGCGGCTTTGAAGCCCCGGAAACGTGATAAATGCGAACTTTTGGCGGGATGGGTATTGCTGATTCTCCAACCAGTTGTTCGACGCCTAGCGCTACGACACCATACCAGAACTGAAAATTTTTTCGAATTCGGTGGAAAATGCTATCCTTATCGCCGTTCCCTTATTTCCACATCCATTTAGCAAATACACTAAAACTCGATTTCCTTTTGAACTGGTTATATTTTTCTAGCGCAGTCACAGGACCCCTGATACTCCGCGATCTATAGATCCGGTGTCATCGGAAAGCACACTGTCAGTGAATACCGAACTCGGTGAGTAGAAATTCGTCACAACGCTTCTGTTTATATCTTTCATGGGTTGTACTGCATACGATGTTGAAGAGTTACATGGTGATCGCTGGCGTCCACTACTGATTCATCTGATAAGGGATGCGATATCTTGATCACAAATGTAAAGTGGAGCTTCAACTCATACAGCGCATCCAGTTGTACTGTTAGCGCAACCAACAATGGTCAGTTGTCTTAATGTTCACCGTCCGGAATCTGGTCCCATGTAACCTCAACTCAGAGATGGTACGTAGGGTGTTATTGCCTAATCGAAGCTGGTTGTGTTCGGTTATAATAGTTTTGCTACCTCAGTCTACGCCTATCGAAAGCACTGAATAGTACGACTACCTTCGTGAACAACTGCAAGCGAGTTTTCTTGGGTTGGTACTTTATTCACAAACGAATGCATGGCTAAGTTGTGTGCTGGCGAACCGGTGACCCCTGGCTGTTTTTAAACGTTAGGAGTGGGTTCTGATGTACGCGCTTCTCTTCAGTTGCTCCTTAACATCTTGCCACTCAGTTATGTGCTTAGGTAGTCATTGAGCTCCTTGATCATTACTATTGGAGCTTGGTGGATTGCCGCATGTCTCGCCATTAATCTGGTACGTACTGTTAGGTGCGATCCATGAAGCCTGTTCAGACATGTCTTGTGCACTTCGAGTATAAACTAATAACTAATTTCTTTACTTAGCGGCATGGTGCACACGGATCGTCTCATTTTAATTCTTAGCCACCGTTTCCGACTTCACTGATATTCCAACGATGATTGCTTTATCGGCGAAAGCCAGTTGGCTAGGTTTTTGGTATGCTGTAACTGTAACCATCGGGTTTTCTTTTGTGAAAAATTTCACCGTTTATTCAGTAAAGTGCAGAACCACTGGATGGTACTACACTTCAACGCCAGTGAGCAGTGCCGTTTCACTAGTTTGTGCCACCCATTCTGGCGGAAAGGGTGAGTGGCGCCTGGGTGCTTGCCTCGATGTCATTACGCCCACTCCAGCAGACCGCTCTGATTGGTAGCTGCCGTTCGCACTATACCACCCCTCATCCCCTCATCGTCTTAACTCCGAAGGAATAAAACTGGTCGATTAGGATCGCAAGTGTTTCATGGTTCAGAATCATCGTCCGTAATGAACTAGTGTCGGTAAATTCGTATCACCGTAGCGCTCAGACCACAGATGCAACCATAATTATAAAAATATGCTCCGCATGTGAGTATCTTGTACAAATGCCTTAAGTTAGTCTGGCCGAAATACACGTGTCGATATGCAGGTTGCTGTTTAATGAGCGACGTTCTTTAGGTCTAGTACTGCCTTACAATTGCATGTTACTATAATCTAAGTAACTCCGAAGAGGCGACATAAACGTTCACGTGCGTCCGCTTGGTTACATGCTGGTATCGTACTTACGTGTGCTACTGTTAGTAACTACAATTACACCCGGTTTGAAAGTAGCATAGGAAGGCGTGTATCAAATGATTTATCTTTGATAGTGTTGACTACCAAAACGCTATGTCAGATACGAAAGGAATACTATGAAAGCATTCCTAATAAGCATTCCACATTGTAATCCTCAATTTGACTTGATAACCGTGAAACTTGATTCATGTCCACTTGAGGCTCATCGTTGCCATCACCAGTTGCAGCACCAGTCTGTAGTGACCTGAAGATTCCCCTGTTTGTCTGTGTAAAATATTATTAAAATATAATATCATTTTGTACCTAGACAACTTAGGAAGCTTGCCTGTTCGAATGATGACTACGTGTGTTTGAGTCACCCAGACGAATTGCATTTCGCGCGCTTCCGGCTTTCCACTTCGAAGAGCGTTCGCTGCGTATCGACTGGCGACTACACCTTCCTCCTAGCTAGAACCGCTCTGCAATGCCTTTATCTAGAGGGATTGCACGTTTCGACAATAAACGTCTATCTCGCCCTTATATTCGTCTTTTTCCGACTTTACCTTGAGACGGGACGAACCTGAGTTTATAGCGACCGAACCATTCCTCTATAAGTGTTGCGTTCTGATAGGTCGCTGCCCCACAACTGTAACCAGTCACAGGTAACCTTACTAATAGAGCAAACTTGGGGTTGTGCGCCTTGTATAGGATTTACGCAAATTACTTTTAATTGCAGAGGTCACTTCGAAGCATTCGTTGTAGGAATGGATTACGGCGCACAATCTCAATGTGGACCGCGATTTGCATTGGAGTTTACAGCGATCATTGGGACGGTAGCATGAAGCAAATGAATATTGGTTGTTGCCCGCCTCGAAAACACTACACTCCACCACTAGTTTCGAACTTATTTGATCTCATCAGGTACAGATGATAGGCATCGATCCCGGGGTCTTTGAGGTGTTAGCCGAAACTTCTACCACTTTAGTAATCGACTCACGGCGGGTAACATCCGCTGTTCATCTGCTTCCTGCTACTGTCCAGTTTATCGGATTGACTAGGTTTCTATTCAATGTGGATCGTGATCCACATTGGGACTAAACGTCGCAATCCAATTACCCAAAGGGGGCTTCAAAATAACTACAATCAGTCATTAATGGTTGCGACTCGGTAGTTTATGGGTGGGAGTTTTGGCAAACACCCCAAAGGCCCAAGGTTCAGTATCCTTTTTCTCTCCATGATAAGATCAAACAAAATAGTTTTAACTTTAGGTGCAGTGCATCAACACCTGACAAACAAGTAATGGGCACAAACGGCCGGTTGCCATGTGAATGTAAAGCGATTCCGGGGAAATAGTTTTCTTGTGGATTCCATCTCACGCTCTATCAAATTTAACTCGCAGATAACTCAACATCCAGCGCGCTCTAAACAAGCAATTTGTCCAGGTTATGGCAACAAATACGCCATTGGTTCCAATCCGTTGTGGTATATATGGTCATTCAAAAACTGCACGTCTAACAACCAAACGGGCCACCACTGCCTAATTTCCCTGTTGCCAGGACAACATTTACTCTCCTCGCAACTTATTCCATCAAAGTTCAATTAAAAAATCCCCGGTTTGTGGACACATGTTACTGAACCAGCCAACGCTTCACTGACACTTGACGAGTACCAATCGCATGCGAGCAAGGAATACTGCAGTGCCGTCGGCACCTCCGTCGGTTCGAACCGGCGGTTTGTGGATAACACGCGAGCCACCTGCCGACTAGTTGTTGATAGAACTAACCTGATCGTCGCTACAGACACTGGTGTTAAAACTACACGAGGAGCCCCATATGCAACTTGAGTCATTGATATATTAGTGTGTGGAATCCTACCTAATGAGACGTTTAGTTATCGTGTTAAGGCTCCAATTTTGGGCCTATATGCGCGGCCATCCAGAATAAGGTTAATAGCAGCCTAGTGTCACAATTGCGGCAAATCGATCAACCATAGTTATTGTCGAGATAGATAGTTAACGGACGACCAGTGGTTCCACAACAGCGCTTTATTGCTACGAGGCCTGTACCAAAGATTGGGGTCTATTCGAAAGATATGTGTGTTGACCGCGTCGCCTCAAGTTTGTCGAGCAGTAAGACGATGCCGTCCGCGTACTAGAGAGCTGTTTCAAATTCTTGGAAGATACTTGGAACCGATCGAGTAGTCATGAGTTCAGAGAGGTTTGGAAACAATCGGTTTGGAATAGTAGTTTGGTAACGTTTCGCCTCTAACATAGAGGCTTCGTCAGACCAGGTGAATCAGTGTGCAATTGGTGTGGGATTTTATAGCGAACAGGGGCGATAACCGCTTTACCCGAGTCTTGAGCCATGATTCATTACAGGAACAGTTCGGGATGTCACCTCAGGTGGTTCGATCACAGTGGGAATAGTCCAGGTGTTCCTTTGTGCGTCATGACATTGACGGATAAGCCCGTAGTGTTGTCAATGGGAGTCGGTTTGCACTTTTCAATCTGATCCACGCATCGATGCTCGTCAAGCTGGTCGGCTTAAGACCGCCCGCCACGCATTAGGGATTTCTACCCCCTCCATTCTATTCACGCAGTCGTCAGATTTGGCAATTTCCACTGCCTCGGCAA